TTCTAAGGCAGATAATTTTATAGAAATTAAAACTACAAGAAAGTGGTTGTAAATTGAGTTTTTTTCTTTTTATTTTTTGTTTTTTTTTTTTTTTGTCTTTTTTATTTTTTATTTTTTTTGTCTTATAAATTTGTATGATATGCCAATATACATCAAATAGGTTAATCACAGGCCAATTATAATTGCTTATTACTGATATGAGCAAATATTAAATTTGAATATTAATAATAATAAATTTATTGTTATGCAAGCACTTATGACTTCAGATTTTATTGCTAAATAAGTAAGTTCAAATTAGCAAATGCGATTTGAAATTATGATTATAAATATATACTGATTGGTTGGAATTTTAATTATTGATTTTGTTATTTAAAATTTGGTACTTATTATAATGTGATTGGATGTCTTATAGTGTCTTAATCTAAATTTGGTACCTCTATATAAAATATGAATGTTTTATGCTGTCCTTATACAAATTTGGTGCACTTTTAAAAAAGTAAATATCTTTAGCTATCCTATACTGTATATGAGTATTTTTGCTTAGCAGTACTCATATATATTTTAAAATAATATTTAAACAACTTTTAAGCATAAACTAACAGGTTTAAACAAAATAGCATTCTTATATAAAATTACTTTAGTTATCTAATTTGTATATTTTAATCATGTTAAAGTTAAAAAAATTAAAATAAAATAATTTTTTATTATAAATAATAATAAAGTTGATAACTATCATTTTTACTAAAGCTTTTGTTATAATCTATTGAATATTTTTTTTGAAAGTCAAAAATTAGTATAGCAAGTCAAAATAGTAATCTAGAAAGTTTGAATCAGAATAATAATAATAATAAAAATAAAAATTTGGGTAGAAGACTATATCATCCAATTTGGAGTTTTTTTTAAAGAAATAGATTCAGATTATTGCTCAGTTTCTTGTAAATGTGATACATCTCGGAAAAGAAAAAGACTATCAGCTTTAAAACAGCATATTTTAGTTGAATACAAAAAAACTAAACCATATATTAAAGAAGCTATATGAAAAATAATAGAAGTATATGAAAAAGAATTGACTCAAACCAAACACAAAAGAAAAGCAACTAATGACTAACAAGAAATTAATAACTACTTCGAAAGTTTAGCACTAAATAATGAACAAAAAACAAATTTTGATATTGGTCTTATTAAGCTTTTTGTTTGTAGTAGACTATCTTGATAGCTTGTAGAATATCTTTTTTTATTGAATTTGTCCAACAACTATGACTAGCTTATAGTTCACCTCTTTGTAAAGCATTAGCTAGTACATTATTAGATAATGAATTCTTATATATTTATACAAAAATTTATCATATATTAGAAAAAGAAAAAAATTTAACTCTAGGTAAATAAAATTTTTAAAAATAAAATTTATAATTATATATATTAATTGTTTATTATTATAATTTTAATTTTAGAGAGGCATGGTGACTTAGTGTAGTAGTCTAGTTGTCACTCTTTTCGAGTGACAGGTCTAGAGTTCAAATCTCACTGGCAATAATATTTGAAAATAGACCTGTGTTTGGTTGACAGCTATGCTTATTGGTTGGATCTAGAACTAAATCTGTAACTTTGATTACACCATCTTGTAATGGGAGCTTTGGCACAATAAATCTGAGGAACTGGTATAACTGAAAACCTATTTGAAAAGTCCCAAATCTGGATATAACAGTGATCTTTGACAGTATCACAGAACAGGGTTAGGCAAGACATATATCCATTGATTTTTTATTAGATATTGAACATTTCCAAATTGTCCAATCTAGTTTTTAGTGTCCAATAAGATGCAGTTTTAGTTGTTATTGGACAATGTCCAAACATAACGCATTGAGCAATTAGGACAATTGTCTATTATTCATAAATACGGATTTATATTAATTAATATACAATCTAATTTTAGTTATACCTTATATTGAAAAATTGATTGAAATCAAACTAGTTTGACAGTTGTAACTTGTAATAAATTAGGATAATTTAACTAAATTTATATTTCGGTTGTACTTACCTAGCACTTTGAACCACAAGAATTTTACTTGTAACAGTATAGTTTATTTGTTAGTGTTAGTTTAATTTCTTCATGTACAATATGCATTATTCAAAATAGGAATCACTAGTGGCTTGTTTATCAAGAGAACATGTGAAAAAAATGAATCTACGATATTTGAATTTTCAAATCTGATTTATAAATTCTCATTTTTCATATATACAATCTACGAAATTATTGATATAAGCCTCTTAATTTTCTAAATACAGAAATAAATAAATACTATACTACTTTAAGAAATTGATTCTATAATACAGTATACATAAATAATTAGATTAGCGATGATCATGACAAAAAGATAAGTTAGTATAATAAAAATAAATACAGAGATCCAAAATGAATCACCACTGATTATTTCAAAATCAAATTGCTGCAATATTGCCATGCTATAACTTAACTTTGTATTGTCTATAATATTCGGACTTACAATATTAGAAGTATAATACAATTATTTGTGTAAGCAAATATTTGTTCTTTATTACTATAGTAATATACAGTATACTTCTATATATACTACTAATAAGATGGTATATAATCTATGACTTTTGATTGCATGGCTTAAAGATACTAATTTAAAAAAGTAAGGTAATTAAGAACTTGAAAAAAAAATAAGTAACGAAGCCATAAAGGTAAGATCATAAACAAAACTGTTATAAGTTTAAACATTGCAAATTATTTAAATATATGAAAAAAACTAGATACTTTAGAAGACTATTGCATTTCAAAGCTTCCAAAAGAAAATCGATTAGCAAAATAGATTAGATTGTTTTTTGAATATATTAAGATAGGTAGTCATAATCAAGGCTGTGCTAATATATAAGAATAAATGAGTTTAGAAGCTACTTCGAATTTATAAGTAAGAACAAAAAAAAAATAAAATTAAGAAAAGTTCAAATACTTTAAAAATCAGATAAGAATAAATTAGATTGATTAAAGTATCGCTTTTGAAAATTATAAAAGAAGCAATTATCAGATTGAATGAAAAATAACTTATCTTTGAGTTAATGTTAACTTGATAAAAAGTTTTTTTTTCTCTTTGTTAATTAACTTTATCTAACACATTATGCAATGCAAAGGAGGAAAGCTATAGCATTCGCTTAGCGAGTTCTTTTATATTATACCCAATGAATAGACAAATAAATACAATAAAAAATATATTTGCTGTGCTTGCATGGAAGCGGTAGGAAGAGAAATTGCACTACAAGATGAAAATATGAAAATTACAAATACCAAGTGATATTGTGCTAATCATCTTAAGAGTTGTCCTTATTTTGCTGCCAAGTATTCGTCTGAACAAATAAAACAAATTCTTTGGCTCAGTTACATCTTTAAAGGAACAAGCAATAATATTATATACAGATGAAGAAGAAGAAAATAATTTCTATTCTTCTAATTTATTATTAGCTAATAATGATACTTTAACCTCTTTAAAAAAACAAGTCACATTATCTCAATATATTGGTCGCCTGCTTAGTGTTTCTGAAGTTCTCAAGTTTGAACATCTTCTACTAAGAGCAACAGTTTCAGCTGGATTTGCATTTTATTGGATTGAAAATCCAGAGGTTAAAGAGTTATTTAGTTTCATTTCTTCTTATTTAAATTTACCTAACCGAAAAACACTTAGCAATCGTATTTTAATGAATGCAACCAATGAAGTTCAAACAACAATCAAAGATCTTGCCTGCCAAGATAAAATAGGAATTACAATTGCCTTTGATAGTTGGCATAATGTAGTAAATCAAGAATTAATGGGTATAGTGTTTATTACATCTTCGGGTGAGACCTTGATTTGAAGAGCAGAAGATATTAGCATTGAAAGATAGCGAAAAAAGAAGTAGTTTTAAGAATTCGTAAACTTTTTGAAGAAACAAAAAACTTAGAAATAAAAGCAAATTGTCTTGTAACTGATTCAGCAGGATCTTATGTAGTAGCTTGTCGCTTTTTGAGACATGAAATGCATAATAAAATATTTATTTCTTGTTTTGCACACCAGGCCAATTGCTGTGTCAGAGATATATTCAAGAAATCTGTAGAATTTAAAAATACTAGTAAACATGCACTTCGCATTGTTAATTTTTTTCATCATTTTATATATTTTACTGCTAAACTTCATGATAAACAAATAAATATATTAAAAAAATATATTAATTTCGTTGCACCAAGTATAACAAGATGGAACAGTTATTTTGAATGCTTTGATAGTATTCTTAAAAGCAAACATCCATTAAAATTAAGTCATTATATTATAATTTTAAAATTAAAAATTTTAAAATTATATAATATATATATTTTTTTTAAAACTCTTGTTATTAAAGATGATGTAGCCTCAGATGATGAATTAAAACTTCCAACTGATCTTAAAAGTATTATTAATCGTAATTCTTTTTGGGATTCCCTTTTAACATTACAAAATATACTTCATCCATTTTGTGGAGCTCTCGATCTTATACAATGTGATAAGGCTCACCTTTATACTGTTTTACATACCTTTAGTTATTTTATACAAGTATTTAAAGAGCTTGAAGAGTTACAATTTCGAACAAAAATAATTGCAAGACTTGAAAAAAGGTGGGCTACTTGGGAGCAACCATTGCTTCTTTTTTCATTTGCTTTTCATCCTTTATATCAACTTAAATATTTTAATTCTATACAATTATATATTAATTATACTTATATGGGAGCATGGTTATCGTACTATTACAAAGCTTGGTTTGATATTAACTCAAGCTACTTACTTTGTGAACTTGAACTTTACAAACAGCAAAAATATCCATTCATTAATAAAACCTTTAAGCAATTTAAAGGTGATATTGTTCTTTGGTAGTTACATAATTCTGGTACTACACCAGAATTAAGTCATATTTCATGTCAATTATTTGGTATTTGCATTACAACTGCCTCAGTAAAAAGGCTTTTTTCTACTATGAGCTTTTTACATTCTCCATTGCAGTGTAAACTAAAAGTAAGTTCTGTTGAAATATAAAATTTTTTATTGTATTAATCTTATTTAATTATAGGATAAAAAAGTAATTGCAATAAGTCAACTTCATGCTGAAATTTTGTAAGCTCATAAAAAAAAACTCAAACCAAATTACAACCGATCAAATCACTCTTCTACTCCAATTTCATCTGCTACTGCCTCTACTTCTACTCCAATTTTGTCTATTATTGTTTCTACTTCTACTTCTACTTCAATCTTGTCTGCTACTGCCATTACTTCTTCTATATTATCTGAACAAAATCAAGTACTTGAAAATATTGAGGATGATGATATAAATGAAAATATTAATTTAGGTGATTAGGATGATACTATAAATAAATGGAAAGAATTGTTAATCGATGAAGAACTAGAAGAACAAAATGATCTTGATGATAATGAGATCGATTTTCTTAATATAGATATAGAAACACATCTTGCTGAAAATCAAACTGCGAAATGGAATTTGTCTAAATTGTTTTTCTCTAATTTACCTTTTCTATTTGATAATTAAATTAGATATAAAGTTTAAGTCGTTTAATGGGTTTTTATAAATATAGTATTAAGATTATACTATTTAGCCTTTGTAAGATTATATTACAATATATAAATTAAGAATACCTTCTATTACTTCAGATTCAAACTCTTGCAAGAGAAAGTTAGATTTGTTTGGTCTACTCTTTTTTATAAGAGTGTAAATTTGCAGGGCGTAAATAGGCAGAAATAAAAAAAATTATTAGCAAGTAAATTTAGACAATGGCTTTCTAATAAACTAAATATAACTTTAAAATATTGAGCGTTAAGAAAAAAAACCTTTTGATCTCGTTAATTTTCTAATATAGTATAGTATTGATTTATATATTGTACAAATTGTACTCTTGATACATATATATATATATAATTAACATAACAAATCAAAAAAGTAACCACGCCATTTCCTATTATGTTTATTGCTGTCCATTGCTTTCAATTAGACAATTTGGACACCAAATTTTGGACAGATTTCCATTGTCCAAATTCCATTTATGCCAACCTTGTCACAGGAGGGCTAAATTCGAACTGGGGTCTGAGATTGGAGAACTAAGCGACCAGGTTCTATGGTAGAGGACACACTAGCTAAACTACCAGGTTGTTGTACCGGAGAAAAAGAGTATACACTCCAAAAGTATGAACCAAGGGGAGGGCATTCTTCAGACACCTAAAGTCTAAGCAGACCAACCCTTCCAAGTTGCTAACTGGAAGTAAGGGAGGAACCGATAAAGAATCTGAGTAAAGAAATGGTTTTAAGTGTGGGTACCAGGGTTGTTGTGAACTATTAAAGGCAATAAGTATATAATGAAAAACTAATTAGAAAGGTTGTAGCTTGAGATACAGATCGGGTTATGGTAGTGCTCTAAAGAGTAGCTTGAGATACAAACTTAGTGTCAGTAGCACAACAGGTACTAACTAGAAAGATATTATGGAACATGCAGGTGAATGCATATGTGGAACATATACTGCTCTGCTAGGCTTACCTTCGAGAATAGTAAAGTGTTCTAAGTTGGCTATTTATATAGTGGTGTCACAAAACCTATGTTTGAATAGTGAGTTACACCCATGTTAAGATGAGCGTTAGGCCAAATATGTTAAGACTAGAAGGTTTAAATAAGTACTCCTCATAGTCAGGTACAGGTATGGCAGATAGTATAGAACCCTTAGCATAGCACAACCGCTTTGGGCAAACTATCTAAATTAGACACCAAAAGTGCACGTGTGGCTTGATATACCTTCATCTAAATGTATAGTGTCTGAACTCAACTTAATAAAAATTGCTGACCAAGAAGGTCTCCTTTAATTTTTAAAAAAAAATAATAATAATAATTTTTTTTTTTTATTATATAATGTCATAGTAGAAACTTTATTACAGTCAGTCCGAAGATTGAAAGTTATCTTATGGTTTACAAATCCAGGTAAGAGGACAGATAAGCTACTTATTTATAACCAGGCTGCCAAAACCCTTTAACTTGAACTAGTAAATTTTAAGAAG